CCTTACAGACAATAGTCATTTCTCCATTAGTCACCTTGATTCCATAGTTTTTAATAAATGGAGATTCACTTACCATTCTCCAACTTAAAAGACCAAATTTTTCTTTAATGGAAATCTTCAAACCTCAATAGGTATTTTCTTGTATTCTAACAAGATAAGTAAATGAAATAAACATCAGAGGTAAAAACATGGTGTAACACAAGTTCACTAAGAAACTTGAAATGTCAAAACAGTAGAGACTAAAATTAGAATTTAGACTGTACTGAACAGCTTAAGTACAATAAACATATAGTACTAATAATAATTAGTTTGGTATTGTTCAACCATCATAATCTCCATTAACTAGTAGATACTAATATACTTGTTGTGAAACATACTCTGGGAAAACAAACATTGTTTGTATTTTAACATAAACATCATTACCAAAACCTTAAAGTTTATATTTGATCTTCAACTTTTCACATTCAGTAATGTTTCAAAATATAAACATATCATTTAATTTATATATTTAGTTTAGTTATAAAACAGAAAATTTCAATTCATCCATTCTGAACAAAATTGTTCAATGAATAGGCGATTTGGTATCAAATTTCTGGTCTAAAGTTAGGTTAAGAACAAAACAGTTTGAAGTAGCGTCAACAATTCTAGATAGATGGCGTTTGAACAGAGATGTTATTTTTAACATGAAGTTTTTAAAGGTGAAATTGGTTTAAAAGATAATCCTGTATCAACCACTTACAACGTGTCAGGATTTTCACATGTCTTTATTACCTCCCTTTGGTAACTTTTATTGTTTGACTTCTCAGATGAGAAAGATCCTGTTTGTAACTTACATACAATTATGAGATCTAATCATGTATCAGCCAATCCTGAATCCTAGACAGAATTTTAAATTTTCCTTGGGTCACTAAGCTGTATGGGTTTTGGCTTGATCTGCATACATGTACATCAAATTAACTTTTGTTTCTACCAAGAAGTTGCTATAAGATCTTGAGCTAGGTGATCTGAAGTCTATATTTTGGTATTTTGTTTGTTTAGAGGTCCTCAGATTATATGTTGTTATCATTTTGAAGTATCTATTTTCATTGTTATGTGATAGATAAGAATGCTACTGTTTTCAGTTCTCATAGTATGGTCATTGACAACTGACTTTTTGCAACTGATGGATAAATAGGTATTTTTAGATTGGTTTAATCTTATGTTGTGGACCTATCAAAAAGATCCAAAATAACAATGATAGATTATAGTATATAAGATATATATAATGGTAGGTCTAGCTCCGTGGGTAGTAATGATTTTAATAACAACCCCAACTGGAGATAATTTGATCCCTGACCTGCGACCCCTCTAATTATTTCACCCCTGTGATAAATGAGGAATATGAAAAGTTAATAATGAGACAGTGATAGATTGAAATACTCTTAAAGGTCATCTGGACAATTTGGAGTCCTTGGCCCTCAGACATTGAGAAATATTTTTTTGCTGAACTCCTTTTCATTCCAAACATGATGATTTTAATGTCATCTGACCTTTGGCCCCTAAAATATATTAGTATTAGATTAACATCAATTATTGAACAGTATGTATTCCTGGCTTGGGTTCCCTGATACATCTTCATTAGTTTAATTTGTTTGGAGACGAGACATCTTAATTTCATTTCTAAAACATCATTTGACGATATTATGACCTATTCAATATATTATCTGGAATCTTCTATTTTTCAGATATTTTTGTGAGATATATCTAGATAAAACATTATACGCTAGAACATCCATTAAGATGAAGTCAGACATGTTATTCTGGGGTGAACATTTTGAATTTAAGTAAGTATTCAGAAGATAAAAGGTATATATCTTAAAAGCTATCTTATTGAGAATGACTCAAGCATTTCATTGTGTGTACAGGTGTAGAGTGGTATCAGGTGATTTGAATTGAACTACCTACACCCCAAGATTGTTCTAGGTTGGTAGTGTGTTCGTAATGAAATGTACATTATTATATCAATTTCAGTAACCTGCCACCAGTAGATGTGATCACGGTGAATTTATTCCGAGAAGCTGATCGGAAGAAGAAAAAAGATAAAAACACATTGCTAGGTAAGTTGGGATATTTTTTTTTTCCATTTGAGGACATTTTCTCCCACACAATTTTACTTTCACAACAAACATTTCATTTTGATGGATTTTGAAATAATGTAATCAGAGACTGAGGTCAAAAATCAAAACTTAATTATTGTGAAATATTTGGAGCTCAGACCAAGTTCAAACAATATGAAATGAGACCCACTGAGGTTTTTAAAGATACAGTGAAATCACTTTTAAACAACACACCACATAACATGGGACTGATACTTCTGTAGTTTGTGATTTATTTTGACGGAAGGGAATTCCCTTCACATTGTTTCCATAGTAATTCTTTTTCTCCTAATGAGACACATGATACTCTTCATGTCTCAAGCGTCTATTATATCATAAAGTTTCATAGAGAAATTCTTAATGCGTATTATATTTACTAGTTTACTGGTGGAGAAATAAAATATTTGGAAATTTCCCAAGGGATGATGCCCTCACTGTCGCTAGTTTCTGAATCATTTATCCTTATACTTCTAGATATGATACAGTGACAACTGACATATATTATTCAAATTGCAATTCTCTACACTAAAATATACATCTGATCTGTATCTCAAGTCTTTTTTCATGATTGAAAAGATATTCATTACTTTGAATTTTAGTATCTAGAAAATCAATGAAAAAAAGAGTTAACAATCTTAAAAGGAAATTTTTTGTATCATTTAAAATTCAGCCATCAGGAAGAAAATTATATCAATTTAGAACATTTCTTTTCAAAGATTTTCTGCATTTTCATTTCTCTTTTACACCTGTTTGATGTTTAAATATAAAATGCCAGGCCAATATCTGAAAGGCAGTGTAAAATATTTGGCCAGTTTGTAATTGTTTAAGTGACTAAGAAAGGGCCAGTTTGTTGACTCAGTATTTGTGGACATTTTGACAAATGGCCAATTTAATTGTTTACTGTGAAACCGTGGGTCAAGAAACGAACCTTTGTTGAAGTTTGTTTGAGAAATGTAATTTGAAGACATGTGTTTATGTTTGTACTAAAGGAAGATAAAATGTTTTTGATACTAATCCCCTGGTCAGACTATTACCTATTGTTAGTGAGTTAAGACACTCGACTCCAGGCAACAAACAAGATGAATTTTATTGAGAAACTTGTTCTTGTTAATGTCTGTATGTGACTTATAAACTATGGTTTAGATCTACATTGAAAATAGTCAATAATAGATATCTGTGACTTGAAGACATAATTACTGATCTATAGTCAAAAAAAACTATACATCCATCAGAAAAATACTTACACATGAGCTACTGTTGACGACTTATTCACTTTGAAATAAAAGGAATGTATGAAATAGACCTCTACATAATAATTGTCCTGTTGTGTTCTATGATATTGCAGTCTTTAGTGCAGCAAGAAAAGAATTAAAACTTTAATTTGATATAATTTCTAAGTTTAAGTTATGTCCTTTATCTTTGTGCTGGAAGCTGAAAGCTAATTAGATTAAGGAATGTTACAATATAATTTATAATTAGTGAAAGTTAATTAAAAGAGGACTCTCAGTAATCTAATACTATAGATAAACCCTTATCATAGTCCAGATTCTAATATATAGTGCTAGATATCTCTTATCATAGAACAGATTCAAACCCCATAGCGCCCAAGTTGATAAAAGTGATTAGTCTTATCACCTGTCCCCCTATTGTATTGACTGTGACCCCCAGGGTTATCGTGTAATATTTATCACTGACAACATTCTGTTCTACTAATTTTATGTCAATTCCATTTTGATTTAATAAATTAAAAGCAGGACTTTTTCATGTATTTTCACAAAAATTGTTGGCATTGATCGGTATTTAGCAATTAAAAAACCCAACATCAAAATCAAAGTTTCCTAAATTTCTCACAGGGATAAGTTTTGCCGAATTCCATGCCAAACATAGACTTATCCATGAAATACCATACCAGAAATATGTGATAGTTATGTTATTTTCACTATAATTACAGGTTATATTAATATACCAATATCAGAAATTGGTAACAGACAATATGTAGAGAAGTGGTATACAGCTGCATCTGGTACAGTTGGTAAGGCAGGAAAAGATTCCAAGAATGATCTACCAATAATTCGACTTAAAGCTCGCTATCAGACTGTCCATATATTACCTATCAATCTCTACTCAGAGTTTATACAGGTAAGATCAATTGTTTTAAACATTAGAGGGTGTAGGAGTGTAAGTGAAAGTACTTCCTGGTAATATTTTTGTGCCTTGAGAGGATATTTATCTCTACACTTGCTATTGACTGACTATTGTTCTACAGCTATAAGGGTTTGACATGTGCCTAGTCTTTGTTCATCATGAGTTTGAATTTTATCATAAATCCGTATATAATATAAGATCTGCAAGATACCTGAATGTGAAACAAAGGATATTGACAACATACAAAATATTGTTTTTAAGTTCTTTATAAGTTTTGTTTGTTTTTTTTTTTCAGTATTTAAAGAGTGATTATTGTAAACTATGTGAAAGTATTGAACCATTAGTTAATGTAAGAGATAAAGAAGATATAGCCATTACTTTAATTAACATAATGCAGAAACTAGGCATGGCTCAAACTTTTCTTTCTGATGTTGTGATGGCAGAAATAGGCAGATTAGGTATGAAAACCTTTATTTCAAATACATCTATCTAATACATTTTTTTACCTATTTATAAGAGAAATTTGACATAAACTTTGATTGCATAAGTTTTCATTTTGCCATGTTTTGATGTGTTTACATTTCCTTGAATCTCATATTTGGATATAAAAATTAAAGAGGGTTCACCTACAGTTTGCCATAGATACCATATTTCTGAATGCCCTTGAATTTGTATGTTTTAGACAATGAACACCTGACGTTCCGAGGTAACAGTATGGCTACTAAAGCTATGGAAGCCTACATGAAACTAGTGGGAGAAAAGGTGAGTTTTATTATCAATCTCTTCAAAGCATTACTTAACTTTGACCTTCAAGATTTGTTCTGTTATTGATTACAAGAAACTTAGTCAGATATTGCTGATGATGTATTGCATGTATGAATGTGGCTGTCTATTATTTAATTGTAGTTCTACCAGACACCAGATGTTCAATTTGAAAAGTTTTACTTATATACTAGTTTGTCTCATATCACCATAATATTGTGTGCCTTTATCTTCCAGTACCTCCATGATACTATTGGGGACTACGTGCGTAATCTAATAGAATGTCAGGATGATTGTGAAGTAGACCCAACTAAAGTTAACAATGTCACGACCTTACAGTGTCACCAGAAAAATCTAGAAATGTATTGTCAAATGGCTTGGGCTAAAATTATGAATTCTTATTGCTATTTCCCAAGGTGAGACTTCAGTTTAGTTTTCAATGTCTTCTATTATTACCCACCAAGATTTCTGTAACACAATGGCAGCCTAAAGGATGTGTATATGGGAGATTTATTGACAGCTAACAAATTGACTGGAAGTTAGCCCAATAAGTTGGGAAAGAGAACGATGTAAAGCTCCATTTGAATTTGTTCCCTGAGAATGAGGCTGAATAATTCTGACTGTATTTTGAACCAATATTTTCACAATGTATAGTCTGAAATCTTATATCAGTATTAATACATTTTATATTTTATTTCCAGTGAATTAAGAGAAGTCTTTTCAAGTTTCCGAGATCGTTGTATTAAACGTGGTAAAGAAGACATGTCTGATAATCTGATCAGTGGCTCCATCTTTCTACGATTTCTCTGTCCGGCCATTTTATCTCCTAGTCTCTTTAACCTCACACAAGGTTCGTAACAAGTTTGTTCTATGGCTTATCAGCCAATTATAATTTACAATTGGTACTACTTTTCCTGTCTTGTCCCCCGCCCTTCCTGTCTGGTTACCCTGCCCTTCCTGTATAGTTCCCCTGCCCATCCTATCTGGTTCCCCTGCCCTTCCTATCTGGTTCCCCTGCCTTTCCTGTCTGGTTCCCCTGCCTTTCCTGTCTGGTTCCCCTGCCTTTCCTATCTGGTTCCCCTGCCCTTCCGCTGTGGTTCCCCTGTCTTTCCTGTCTGGTTCCCCTGCCTTTCCTGTCTGGTTCCCCTGCCCTTCCTGTCTGGTTCCCCTGTCTTTCCTGTCTCGTTCCCCTGCCTGATGTATTGTGAATTAGCTGGATATTGGTAGCATCTTAATTGTGCTAAGATACTGATAATTTTGATCAATTTTTAATTCTGTCATTTTTATTTTAGAATATCCTCAAGAAAAAGCTGCCAGAAATCTAACATTAATTGCTAAAACAATTCAAACACTAGCAAATTTTACCAAGTAAGTTTTTCTGCAATGTTAAATTGGCTGGCTTGGATAGTAAATTCAGCTTCAATCTTCTTTCCATTCAAAGTTTCATTCAGTACATAATCAAGTTTCTTCAGTTTAAGATCTTCTGTTAGAAATTTGTTTATGATATTAGGTAGTTTTTTTTTTAGTTGTAATATTATTATAAAAACTTATTGTAGATTTGGAGGTGGTAAAGAGGAATATATGACGTTTTTAAACAGTTTTGTGGAACGTGAATCCAACAGTATGCACAACTTTCTTCACCAAATCTCTGTAAGTTACATTGTCTTTATTTACATCTCATACTACCATGAATAATTTCACCTACTGGAAGGGAATAAGGGAAATAACAACAATTTTGTAAAAATTTATGGATCATGCTATTGCATTTAACCTAGATAATCAAGAGAAAGTATCATTAACAAACTATTGAAATCTTACAAGATATCAAATGCAATCAGGTCAAGAAACTTGACAGTAATACTTATGTGTTATATATTACAGACTATAGAGACAGGCAACCAGTTTTTATCTTTTGATGGTTATATTGATATGGGAAGAGAAGTGTCTATTTTACACTCCATGTTACAAGAAAATTTTGACAAGGCACCAGAGGTAGTATTCATTATTTACTAATCCAGTAGCAAGTGAAATCAGGAGCAGAAAAATGAGATGTAAATCTCCAATATTTTTAAATTCACTCGAATATTTTAGATTCCTGTTAATTTCAGCTCTTATATATTTTTTTTTTTCAATAAACCAATAACTTAATTTTAAGGAATAGTTACAATTTGAAATTAACTTTTATTTCCAATATATTTATAATTTCAGGAGTCACTGAAAAAATTATCCAAGTTACAAACAATTTTATCAAAAATCAGTGATGCTATAGACAATCCTTCTGTTGGTACAAATATTAAACATAATCGTAAAAGTCAAGTTTACGACAACCTAGTCAATATGCCAGGAGGTCTGAACGCAACATCACCAACAGAAGTTTTACGTGACATGTTACGTCAGTGTGGTGAATCAATAGACGAACATCCAATATTTCAACAACATCGTCGTGAGTCACAAAATGGGACATCAGAAGAATCAAACAGTGATAGTAGTGCTAAGCCTTTCAAACATCCACGAAAACTAGACCCTCATTTTAACCAATCACAGGAAAAACCACAAGTGAAAACTCGCGTTAGTGAAGTGTCAAATGTTTCGGCAAGATCTAAACGAGTTAATGAGGACCGAGTAAATCAATCATGGAACCATATAGTCAGTGCAGCTGAAAATGTTAAAAATGGAGAATATTTGGATTTAATTCCATTTATGGATGAAGATGCTCAAAATTCTTCCATGGAAATGGAACATAATGCTCACGGTAGTCAAATGTCAATTAGTCAAATCTCCACAGTGGCTTCATCAGGTTATCAATCATTTGGTTACAGCCAATCAAATTCTCCCATTGAAGCCAATGGACTTCATCATGAACATGTGCGTGAGATTTCAAAATCTCCAATAGTTCAGTATCCTATGCAACCTCTTCAATTTTCTAATCCTTTGTACTCTCATCAGTTAGCCAACTCTAGTCGTGGTACAACACCATCTTCTTTAATTCATCAGGCTTCCAGTGACAGTTCTTTAAATAGTGCTGATGAAGCCAGTACAGTCAAACATCGTAGCCCTGTGAAAAATGACAGAGTTAAATCTGAAGATCCGCTACGAAAGTTGTCTCAATTGTCCAGTTCTAGTAGTTGTGAATCTTTAAATGAAAGACCAGTGTACAATGGCTCCCAATCTAGTTCTAACAATTCAGTGAAGTTTTCTCTTGGACCTCGAAGTTCTAGTCCTGTTCACTCACACAGTGGTCCCCGTGTTCATCGCTTGAATTCGTATTCCTACGACACAATGCCTAATGAACGCTCAGCAAATGTACGACCTTATCAATTGTCTCAGAGTATGGACTTTGGATGTTTATCAAAGCAAAAATATTCAGACAATTTAAGACGTACAGCAACAGACTCTGTTATATCTCAGACCAGTACACCAGTTGCTTTAAGATCAAATAGTTCTCAATCTCTTGGACACAGTCGGGAGGATATTCTATCCCATAGTTCACGTAGACTCTCTCCTCTCAGTTCAGTTCATATGGGAATTAGTTCAGTTCAAAGGAAATTACAAGAACAAGAAAGAACAAAAGCTGAGGTTAGTTGATAAGAATTTTGATAATATTTTTGAATTATTGACAGTTGCTATGGAAATAATTGATAATGTCAAGATAGCTTCTCATGTTCAAATGAGTCAAATACTGGAAGATGTTTTTCATTGTAAAGAATTCTTTCGTCTGTGAAGGAAGTCTTTGCAAATCCTCAAATGAAAGTCAGAATGATATCAAATGGCATGCATGGCACACTAAATAGAATTGCTCCATTTCATTTGATTTATTTTCAATATTTATTTTTTTCAGTATGAACAAGAAGTTCACCTACTACGTCAACAATTGGCAGAAGCTCAGGTTGTTTTAAACCAAGCTGAAGTTAGACTGTCAGAACATGAGTTAACAACAACACAAGTAGCTCGGGAATGGCAGAGTAGATTAATGGAAAGTGAAGAAAGAATGAGACAACAACAAGCTGAGAAAGATAATCAGATGAAATCCATTATTCAAAGGTAAGCTTTGGGCTGATAATAACCTAGTAAATCTGTGGTGATAGTCTGTGGTCTTCATTCAAAGCCATAAATGCATTGGTATCCTGTTTTAAAAAGAAAAAAAATCATTAGGCATCTGAAAGAGAAACTTAGCTCAGTTTTTGAATTGATATTTTCTATTATAGATTAGTTTTAATTGAAGATGAATTAAAGAAAGAACAATTGGAGATGCAGAAAGTCGTTCATGAGAAACAGGAAGTGATAGAAGCACAGGAGCGCAGAATAATGACTGTAGATGCAGCAAACGCCAAGTTACTACAAGCTTTAAATGAACTGAAGGAACGATATGCTGTTACTCAACAGAGAAATGGAATATTACAGTCACCCAGACCTAAAGTTACTGCCACAGAATTGGGTGGGTTCAAAAGCAGTTCATGTTGACTGAAAAGAACATGCCATCTTGAGCTATGGGTGATATATTTTGAGAAATGAATCTGAAGATTTCATTATATTATAGATCTTTTTTAAAGTCAAGTTTACAATGTTGGTCCTGTTAATGATAATATACACACTATCTTTTTCAACTGTGCATTAAAATGTGATGTTTTCAGAGGAGAAAGAAAAGAGAGAGTTTTAGATGTGGAGAAGTTATCACTGTTCAAGACGTGAACAAAATGTATTTGTTTGTTGACATATTTTACAGTCTCATACTACCTTTGGTTCATTTCAATTGACAAGTTATTGGACTTTGTCTCTAGAATGCCAGTGTTCTTACTGGTACATCTCCAGACAGCCTGCTTTCGGGATGGAGTTGATATATGTGTATCAGCCAGTAGTGTATGGTTGGCAATGAAAATATCTGCATAAAAACCAATTTCTTTTGATTTAAGAATACATGTACATGAAATATTCTAGTGGCTTATCAAAAAGTTGTTGCAGCTGCTGTGAACATAGATTGGATGGCAAGTGGAAATGATATTTTACCTGTGTACAAATCAATGACTTATTTTATATTTGTAAAAGGATCTTTGTATCTGACCTGTGGTTTGTTTCCATAACTTTTTATGCAAATTAGTGCTAGGAACAATCATCAAAATGACTTAAATGTTTGTGTTCATTATAATTCATTTGTTGACTTCTATAGGGGTTTCACCTTCTTCATTTTGTAGCTTGGAATGCAAATCATCGCATACTTTGTTACTGTGACAACAGGGTCCCGATTCCACCATTAAATTGTCATTATAATCTATTCTTAATGTTAGATATGACAAAAAGCAAATTAAATTAGCTTATGTAATGGAAATCTCCGAAATTGAAACTGGTAGTTAATATTCAGTGGTTATCAAAGATATTGGAATAGTCAAAATCTGTAAATTCAAAGGTGAAGATAACACCATATTTAACATTGTAGAAACTAAGACCTTGTTGAAGAGATGACACCTATTCTACTAGTTATTCTATTTTAGGGCATGTTCAGGCATTATTTATTTTCACATGTGAACATTAATCTATAATGTAGTAAAATAAACCAGTAATATGACTGGAAGTGCAAGCATTATGTAAATAGAATCTCAGCATGGTAGATGAGATTAACTAGTGCCATGTGTTATTGTATAGTAATGATGTATATTATTTAAGTTGTATATTTTAAATTCTATCTATTATTTGTTGTATATAAGTATATTATATAACTTAATATCTCAAAATAAATCGCAATCGACCTCAATCCTTTGTTTTGTTCATGACTTATTTCTATATTCTTCTATGGGTTAATTTTTGTATATTTTCAATCAGGATTGCGCCTATCAGTAATGTAGGGAGGAAGGTTGACGTGGAAAATGGAAAAACGTTCAGTTGCGGGATGGGACAAAAAATAAACTGAGGCCCCATGTACTACAGGATATGCAAGTTAATGCATATCTATGGCTAGTAATCAGCAATCAATATCTATTGATTGTAATCAGTGATCAATATCTATGGCTTGTAATCATCAAATATGATTAGTAATGATTATCTATGATAAGTAATCAATATCTATGCCTAGTAATCAACTTATATGACATGCAATCAATAACTATGGCTTGTAATCAATATATGTGCCTAGTAATCAATATCTATGGCAAGTAATCAATATATGTGGCGCTAGTAATCCGTGATCAATATTTTTGGCTAGTAATCAGCAATTAATATCTGTGACAAGTAATTATTGATCAATATTTGTGAATAGTAATAGTAATCAATAACTATGGCTTGTAATAATGTAATCAGTGATCAATATCTATAGCTAGTAATCAGTGATCAAAATCTACGGTTTGTGATCAATGTCTAGGGCTAGTTATCAGTAATCAATATATATGGCTTGTAATCATTAACTATGGCTTGTAATCAATATATTTGCCTATATCTATGGCTAGTAATCAGTGATCAATATCGATGATTAGTATTAGTGATCAATATTTATGATTAGTAATCAGTTATCAATATCTATGACTAGTAATCAGTGATCAAAATCTACGGTTTGTGATCAATGTCTAGGGCTAGTTATCAGTAATCAATATATATGGCTTGTAATCATTAACTATGGCTTGTAATCAATATATTTGCTATATCTATGGCTAGTAATCAGTGATCAATATATATGGCCAGTAATTAGTGATCAATATCGATGATTAGTATTAGTGATCAATATTTATGATTAGTAATCAGTTATCAATATCTATGACTAGTAATCAGTGATCAAAATCTACGGTTTGTGATCAATGTCTAGGGCTAGTTATCAGTAATCAATATATATGGCTTGTAATCATTAACTATGGCTTGTAATCAATATATTTGCTATATCTATGGCTAGTAATCAGTGATCAATATATATGGCCAGTAATTAGTGATCAATATCGATGATTAGTATTAGTGATCAATATTTATGATTAGTAATCAGTTATCAATATCTATGACTAGTAATCAGTGATCAATATCTATGGCCAGTAATTAGTGATCATTATCGCTGACTAGTAATCAGTGATCATTATCGATGACTAGTAATCAATATCTACGACGTTTGTAATCGATATCTGTGGCGTGTAATCATTGATCAATATCTATGACTAGTAATCATTGATCAATATCTATGACTAGTAATCATTGATCAATATCTATGGCTATTAATCAGTGAACAATATCTGTGACTAGTAATCAATATCTATGCCTTGTAATCAGTGATCAATATTGATAACTAGTAAACTTTTTTCAATATCAGTGGCGAGAAATCAGTGATCAATATCTATGGCTAGTAATCAGTGATCAATATCTATGGCTAGTAATCAGTTATCAATATCTATGGCTAGTGATCAGTGATCAATATCTATGGCGAATAATCAGTGATCAATATCTATGGCGAGTAATCAGTGATCAATATCGATGGCTAGTAATCAGTGATCATTATCAGTGACTAGGAATCAGTAATCAATATCTATGGCTTGTAATCAATATAGTTGACTAGTAATCAATGATCAAAATATGTGGCTAGTAATCAATATATATGGATATTAACCAGTGATCAATATAAATGACTAGTAATCAATATATTTTGCAAGTAATCATTAATCAATATCTATGGCTTTTAATCAATATCTTACTAGTGATCAATATCAATGACCTGTAATCAATTTCTATGACTAGTATCAGTTATCAACACTATGGCTTGTAATCAATGTCTTTGACTAGTATCAGTGATCAATATCAATGACTAGTAATCAATATCTTTGACTAGTAATCAGTGATTAATATCAATGACTAGTAATCAATATCTATGACTAGTAATCAGTAATCAATATCTATGGCTTGTAATCAATTTTTGACTAGTATCAGTGATCAATAGCAATTGCTAGTAATCAATATCTATGACTAGTAATCAGTGATTAATATCAATGACTAGTAATCAATATCTATGACTGGTAATCAGTAATCAATATTTATGGCTTGTGATCAATATCAATGACTTGTAATCAATATCTATGACTAGTAATCAGTAATCAATATCAATGACTAGTAATCAGTAATCAATATCTATGGCTTGTAATCAATTTCTATGACTAGTTATCAGTAATCAATATCTATGGCTTGTAATCAATTTCTTTGACTAGTATCAGTGATCAATATCAATGACTAGTAATCAATATCTATGGCTTGTAATCAATTTCTTTGACTAGTATCAGTGATTAATATCAATGACTAGTAATCAATATCTATGACTTGTAATCAACATCTATGACTAGTAATCAGTAATCAATATCTATGGCTTGTAATCAATATGTTTGACTAGTAATCAGTGATCAATATCAATGACTTGTAATCAATTTCTATGACTAGTAATCAATTTCTATGACTAGTAATCAGTTATCAATATCTATGGCTTGTAATCAATTTCTTTGACTAGTATCAGTGATTAATATCAATGACAAGTAATCAATATCTATGACTAGTAATCAGTAATCAATATCTATGGCTTGTGATCAATATCAATGACTTGTAATCAACTTCTATGACTAGTAATCAGTAATCAATATCTATGGCTTGTAATCAATATGTTTGACTAGTAATCAGTGATCAATATCAATGACTTGTAATCAATTTCTATTACTAGTAATCAGTAATCAATATCTTTGGCTTTTGATCAATATCAATGACTTGTAATCAATATCTATGACTCATAATCAGTAATCAATATCTATGGCTTGTAATCAATTTCTTTGACTAGTATCAGTGATTAATATCAATGACTAGTAATCAACATCTATGACTAGTAATCAGTAATCAATATCTATGGCTTGTGATCAATTTCTTTGACTAGTATGAGTGATCAATATCAATGACTAGTAATCAATATCTATGACTAGTAATCACTGATTACTATCAATGACTAGTAATCAATATCTATGACTAGTAATCAGTAATCAATATCTATGGCTTGTAATCAATTTCTTTGACTAGTAATCAGTGATCAATATATTTGGCACGAAATCAGCAGTGATCAATATTGACGGCAAGTAATCAGTGATCAATATCAAAATCTATGGCTAGTAATCAGTAATCAGTTGCAAAATCAGTGATCAATATCAATGACTAGTAATCAGTGATCAATATCCATGGCGAGTAATCAGTGATCAATGATCAATATCTATGGCTAGTAATCAGTGATCAATATCTATGGCTAGTGATCAGTAATCAATATCTATGACTATTAATCAATAGCTCATCAGTGACCAATATCAATGACAAGTAATAAGTGATTATATCTATGACAAGTAATCAACGATCAATATCAATAAGTAACAATCAATCTATTGATAGTAATTTCTCAAGTAACTAAAAGTCAAGATAATAAATAAAGATGATCTTGGAATAATAGTTTATTGCCGTTAATGTGAAAAATATAATAATAATAATAATAGTAGGCAACATTGTTGACAAAATCATAACTTTTTTTCAACTATACATTAATTCATTTCTTAAAAAATAAACCAGAAAAATTAGCGTATAAACCTAGTAACATAAATATATATATAAATATTGCATAAAGTCGATCTTTCACAAAATAATTCATAATAAAAAGTATCATTCTCAGGTAAATAAATCATTAAGTTAGAATTGAAATATTTGTATATCACTATATAATCGAAGATATGAACTTCAGTTTCTGGTATGGTATTTCTAAATAACTCTGGTGTATATAAATATACATTATAAATTATATAAGCAATATAAGAGCAACCCTACTCTAAGGTGAAATAGAGTCACTGTATCTACCAATAAAATAAATATCATTAACTGATTATACTTGCACAATCTACAAATATAATAACACAACTGCCTTCATAGAAGTGCATCTGAAACCTAGTTTCCACATACAAATTATGTAAGTAAAATGTGTATAATGATATGTTCTTCGTCAAATTCTAAAATGTAAATAAAAAAAAATTTATGTCAGAAAATACTTCCTTTTCATTTACTGCATAAGATATGCATATGATCATTTTGGAATATCTTCAGACCTTTGAAATGATGTATGAAAACTAACTGTTAACCAGGTACTTGGTTTCTGATTAAATGCATATTTCTAAGACATATTTTACATTTGTTATCTAGTATCAGACACTAAGGTCCAGTCAGATAAATTTCAGTTTATGTTTTGCAGTGTCCTTAGCTCTTCATAGATATCTATATCTGACTATAACAATGAAATATTTCTGGTGAATCATTATATCATATATATCAGTAAATATTTGATGAAGACTGAGATTGTAGAAATTAGAGACAGACTGGGAATGGATTTAGTTTGTAGACTTTTTATCTTGAGACTTGCATCATGATAATTTGAGCAAAATATTATTACTATTAGTCCCTAATTCTGTTAAAGTTTATTTATATGACAAATTTTATTTAATATGATCAATGTTATTCCTATAATAGATATAAAATTGTTTTTCTTTGAGGATTTCAAAATGAACAGGGATTTTCCTCTCATTTGAAATACATTATTCAAAAAGCAAAAATAGTACAAGTCAGAAAAAACAAAAAAACTTGCCCTCATCAAAATTTGAACAATAATTTTCACAACCTAAATTAAATTCAAGGATTTCATTTCAAATTCATCCTATTTGTCAAAAATAACAAAACAAAACAGAAAAAATAAGCACAAAAAAGCATAAGTGACAGCACAATTAATAAAGATTTACATTAAACAAATGTGGTCCTTCTTGCATAGAAAATATTTCAAAAATATACAAAAAGATTTGTCCCGTATTCATATACATAGGCAATATCAAAATATATACTCAAAAAAGCTACAAGAAAATTGTGGTTAAGGAATATATTGGAATATACATGTTGAATTTTCAAAGTTGCCCACTGGTATCTCTTGGTTAGTGGATCAAGCATGTCAGCCCTCTTTTGCACAAGAATGAAAATTTTACACATTCATATTAAAGCTGATTATAGAAATTGGAATGGGTTGAAGGGTATAAGTATAAAATAATGCTAACTATTTTGGTTGTTATTATTACTCTCTCAGTATTGTTAATCATTGTAGCCATTTTACCATATTATCTTGTAATCCTATAGTTAAGGTATTTGTAACAAATGACAGCAAGAATTTATAAATACAGATATTACGACAGTCGATTAATGTAATATTTTATGGAATATTCAAGTTACAGTTTTAACCAAGACAAAAAATTTCATTAACATGTACACAAAAAATCTACTATTTCTTCAATCGGTCGGTTTATACCAGTGGAAGACAATCATAATTAATAATCAATTAACTGAAATAATAATATCTAATCAGTAAATGGTGAAAATAATACAAAAATAATAATTCTTTCATTATCTACATAGTAACTATAGCTTTATATATCAATATAGTTCAAATCCTTATGACAATACAACATTCTTCTTATACAACCAAAAAGAGATTTATAATATTTATCCATTAAAGTAATAGTTTTAAAAAGACAATTGTTAGAGCATCAATGATTTGATATGCTTTTCAAAATTTGTTCTAAATGACTAACATTCAAAGATTTTACAAGCTCAAACAAATGCTTCTGTAGATAAGAATTTACTTAAAGCATGCTAAGGGAAATGTTCAATCTAGTTGTAATGTAGGCCTATGATTTGATGTATAAGTATAAAAGTTGTTTACCAAGGATTTTAGATTAATTTAGTAATTACCAATATATACAAAAATAATTATTATAATAATAACAACATAGTAAACATATTGTAGTACTGATAAACACATGGATTCTTACAAAATCTCATTGAAATATCTAATTATGATTATTCATAAACAAATTCTTATCTTGAGACTGTTTCAGGAACATGGTACAATAGAATTTAAGCTCTGAAATCAAATGTGAATGTTATATTTTCCTTGGACAATTGACAGTTATGGTCATACTTTATCAGTTGGAATACAATGATCTTCAATATATCCATTAATAATCAATATAAATCATTAAATTGAGAGAAATGGCAGCAGTTTTTAGATTAAACAAATAAATTATGAGCAACAAATAGGATATGTTCAATTATACAAAATCTCACAGGCCTTGTTTATTTGTTTGAGTACATATCATGATAATCAGCACTATCAGTCTATCAATATACAGATCAAAATCTAATTTGATGATGTACTTGTATCAGAAATGAAACAAACAAGGCCTGAGATAGATTGAAATGTTTTGTGGAATGTTTAGGGTCGACGTTGTTTATTCATGTTTACCAACATTAAACTTATATAAGATGTCAATAAATCATCCATTTTATAGCCCTGAAAAATAAATTGATACAATTCTATATCACATTAACAAGACTAGATTGTGTAACATGATATATTAAAGTGGAAACATATACACCGAAATACTTGTAGTTTTTACTATTTCTCAGTCAATTGATTTAATACTTAATGTGTGAATCTGACAATGTTTAAATATAACTGTGCTTACCAAGGATGTTTCACATAGTAATTTACTACCCCTTACTAAATTACCAATTGTCATATGGAAATATGTATTACCACTACTCCAGTTTGATATTTTAGTAAACGGGTGGGTGGCAAGGATATCCTGAAAGACAAATTACAAGAGATGTTAATCAGAGGTAAATGATGTCATTTTAAATGCAGATTGTAAAGGATTCAAGTCAATCAGACAGCAGAGTTAGGGTAACAAGGTAAAGTAATCGTTTTGATTTAGAATCTATATATACACTATAATAAAACTGACCTTAGTTTGAGGATGGATAAGATTGACACCATGTTTATTTATAGCTATTAATAACACATCAGGATAGTTTGGTTCAGTTGTTTGCTAAAAATAGATAAGACAATATTAAAAAATGAATCTGCACTCATTACAATACATAAAATAGATCAATACAAAGTTAAATTAATCCTTTTTTAATTGAAATACCAAAGTAAAATAACTATGCCATGCTCTCAAACACTTAGTTAACGAACCAAGTTGCTGAGTGGTATCAAGAACAGAAAGCATATTGTGGAATATAAATAATCTAGAATTTTAAGTGTGCTAACATTTAAACAACACAGATGAAGTTGGAAGATTCTGTTTAACTGATTACTCACTTTTACTTCAAAGAAGGCTGAACCAAACGTTGGCCATTTATATAAAACTTTAAGGAAATCTACTTTAGCTTCTTGAACAGTTTTACCAGCATCCCGATTAAAATGAGACACAATTGCCTACAAAAAGTAAGTAAAAATATGGTTATATGATGTTTTTAAGGAATGAACAATTGACACCTTCATCTTTCTTTTCAATCTTGAATGATCCATGATAGGTATTGAACTCCTGTCAGTCTAGATGTAGTCTGTATAAATATATATTGTTTCTAATAAAGATGGATAATGAATGTTCCTCAAATTAATATAACTTTAAGATTTAACAAAAAATAAATTCCTACCCTCTTCCAATCATCAGGTGAACATGCTTTAACCAAATCAGCTGGTAGTAGTTCACGCAACATACGTCTGAAATCATATACAGATAATACAATCCCAGATATGATCTCTGTACAAATGGAAACTTAAATATCAAATAGGTTTTAGGATCTCTTCAAATAGGGACCTAACTATCAAATAGGTTTTTGGATCATCTTCAAATGGGAACATAAATATCCAATAGGTTTTGGAATCTCTTCAAATGGTAACCTGAATGGCAGTACAAGTAAAACATGGGTTCCGTCAAAATATATTTATATAGCTAGGGGTATGAAAATGATAACTTACGGTATAGAAGTTAGAAGTTGTTTATTATCACCATGTTTAACTCGATATATCAGTGCTGCTAACTGGGCTGCGTCTTCTCGAGTACATTTATGATAACCACGTAATAATTTAGGCATTTCCTGAAATAAATTGAAAGTGATTTTGATGATTTGTTAATCACCTCATTAGGATTTTAAGTCTGATTATGTAGGTCTTTTGATGCACAATTATCTGTTCCATGAATCAAATTGAATGTTCTAACGGCACTATGAATTTTAGAAAGATGCTTGTAAGAATTATATAGTTCTGGAAATTTTAATTCCCTACCTGGTGAAAGTGGAATATAGTATCAGCATTAACATCTTTTCCTGGTACTGTATTGGTCCATAATTTCTTCATAAAGAATACTTGATATGTAAATTGAGGAGTAGCACCTAGAAGTAATATTCTAAACTATTAAGATATGATTCTTTATAATCTTGAAGACCATAACCAAATTTTGACATATATTATCAGTTTCAACAGATTCCTTACTTCATATCAGTATGCAATTGATAAATTAATATCAATCATTTCAAGATTAACCTAATGAGCATACAAAATATGGGAGAAATACACAGGTTCAACAGTATTTTAAAAAAATGGAATGAGCGTATACAGATGTAAGTAAAGTCTATAGAGATGTAAACTTTACCTTCTCGAGCTGGTCGAGCTTTTCGGATCCAGTCTGTTAAATGACGAACAAAATCAAAGAAAAAATCTCCTTCTGGTACACTGATAACTGCAATCAAAATATTATTAATTTCAATTAATCAAATTGTCTTATTTCATACTTAATTAACTCTAAAATATGTTAATGAAATATCACAAATCAATGACCAGCCAACAAAAAATATTGTTAAGAATCAGATGGTTAAGGAATCCAACTGTAGGTTGTTTCACCCTTTAAGAGCAAAAATAAGAAGGAATCATACCTTTATCAGCAATTTTAACAAATAAACTAAAGCCTTCTGGTGAACGTAACCCTAATTTAGTAGAGATATTCTGACAGAAATCTTTAGCTCGTGTACTTGACTCTACTTCAAATGCCTGAAAAAAAACCATTAATATAATTGTTTAATAAGCTAAAACAAAAAGTGGCCACCACCAATATTCTGCTATAAATTGTGTGTAACAGGACTAAAGCTTTCAAAATGGCATAAAATAAATACAACTCTACTAAAATATAAATAAAATATAAAATATTTTGATATCAAAAGCTTTAGAAAAGTCTATAAAGCATTACCTCATCACTATCATCAGGGAAATATACTTTATGTAAAATCTGAGTTGTTTTATGTTGAATAGCCTCTACTTCTACTTGGTGGGGAGGATATTTTCTTGGACCATTTCTACAATTACAAAATAAAATAAAAATAAATACAGAATTTGAATATCAGTTCTACACCCTGAAAAATATCTTCCTTAATATACTAAATGAACAAGTCACGATTAAATATATATAATAACAAGATAAACAAGTTTTGGACTACAAATGGAATAAGAGAGAGCTTTGAGGCTGATCTCAGTCAGTCAATCAGTAATCATCACCTCTTCCTCTGTTTTGAATTATGCACTAACCTGAGTGATTTCTGTAGTCTCATCATACAGTCATTAACTATAGGGTTGTGTCTGGTTGATAAAAACTTTGTTAATTCTTTTAGTAGATTAGCACTAGGATTAAAACAACCAGCAGCCAACCACATTAATTCCCAACCCCTCTCTTCACTTACTCTACAAAATAACATACAGTTTTTACAATTTTTATATCTTATACTACATCATGGTGGTAATTCTACATCAATGTGGTAAAATTTCACGAAGGAAGAAAGATAATCATAGATATCACAAAGACAAGTGCATAATTTGATTCAAATACAGCTCTACATATATATACAAGAATATAAAAGGAACATCTTTCTCCAAAGTGGATGCAGGGTTGATAGATTCACACTTACTTGCAGTGTGATGTCAAGTGCTCTGGAGAACATATCCTTCCTTTTCAGCATATTCCATATCAATGTTTGACTTTCCTCATTCAAAAGCTCACAAATAGTTCTTTTATTAAGATTCGCAAGGTTTGTCTTGAAATGGTTTGATTTTTACTTGATTCATGTATTCTTACCTATTTTTGTTGTCTGTTAACTGTTTCATGATTTGACAGAAAATTTCATCTCGTAATATTTCCTGAAATAAGCAATATCAGATATAGTGTTCACAGTTCACTGTTATTCTAGAACTAGCATTCTGACTGTCACAGTTCAGAGAGATCATAGTCATCTAAATATCTGCTTAAATGGTTGATAGAACTCAATTTCAGTTACCTTTATTACTGTTCGGAATGAAAATCTTATGTCAGGTTCTCCTTCAATCGAAAATAACATACAACTTTGATGAGTAAGTGTCAACATAATTTTAAACAATAGGCCTACTTACTATTCTGAGAGCAGGTTCGAAGATTTGATCTGTAAGTTCGTTGGCTACACGATTTGCTCTTCTAGAGGGATGATCACCCATATATTTCAATATAGGTAAGATAGAGTTAAGGAGAGTAAAAATTATAATCCAAGTAAATAAAATCAGTTGTATAATCTATTATTATATGTTCTGGGCATATACAGACTGAACTTGATTTGTATTTCCCTATACTTGTGTAACAATATTCAAATTTCTGAATAGTGACTAGGGGACGTCTTATTGATGGTATGTAACTATATTACTTGTAATTTAAATGATAACCTGCTATGAAGTGTACTAAGAAATTATCAAGACTGCATGATGTTTTTGGGCTCTCATGAACAATATTTCTAAAATTGACTATAAAGGATATCTAAGAAACACATGCAAGCTTCAGAGCTTGGTTCATCTTTCCCCACTAATTTCTTTAACAATGGTTGTTTCAATGGCTCCTTCGAATATCTCCATAATTCATCTGATCTTCTTTTCTTTGGAGCTGTCAATGTTTTACTTAATGTTCTTTTTGGTGGAGCTCTGAAATTAATAAAGATACATAACTTGCTGTTTTAGAGATAGTAAGTATATATATTTTGAAATACAGTGTACAAATCTCATACAAGCTTCTTGTTATTTTGTGTAGATAGAAAGTTGGTCTCAAAAAATCGAATAGCTGGGCATTGGGAAGGTTCAGACTTATTCGTGCACAAGGAAAAGTTAGAGATCTTTATGTGCATCATATAAGACACAAAGGTTTTCCACATCACCTTCCTGAATATCATGAGAAAACTCCTTACCTAAAGTGATCATAAGAATATGCTTCTAGAGTATGAGGACTTTCTCCATTCATCATCTGAGGAGTATCAACTTGTGGTTGAGAGAGTAAACGATTAGCATTGTCTGCTGACTGGGAAAACAAATTCTGAAAAGATAATTAGTGTGGAAAATAGAATATGTACTGTAGCAAAGACATCAAAATACTTATTCAATTATCAGTAAGAAAATCTTCGTTTTGACTTTTTCTTTTTTTATTCTTAACTAAAGCACTCTGGGATACCATATTTTGTAACAAACCCCCAAAAAACACACAAAAAACGTCTGTTTCAGCTTACCACAATCTCAGTAGGAGGTTTGGTGATAGTGGGTAAAACATAGACACATTCAGCAGGGAAGTCACCACTTTTACCAGATTGAAGATTTTCACCATAACACCAACCAGAATTCATCACTGTCTCACCATTCTGGTTTAACACGATTAAATCACCTTTCTGTATAGTCAGGAATTCACCTAAACACAGACAGATAATGTTAAAGAAATGCAAACAAATGTCCATGACAAATGTAATCCAATATGAATGAACATAAAAAATGAAACAGAAAAAGTTGATGTCCAAGAAAATGAACAACTGCAACAAAATGGGGCAAGGTCACTGAAAACTGTAATTGTTAATAAATAGAAATGTCAAAAGAACTTCTGATTGGCAAATATATGTAAGGAATCATCAATGAAAAAAAAAAAGGCACAGACCTGGTTGAGAATAATCTTGTATTGCTATTACATATTTTGATCGTTTTTTCAATCCATCTAAAAATGTATCAACCAAATCTCTGATGTCCTCAGCATTGGGTGAGGTGAAAGTATATTCATCTCCTTTTACAGTAGCTAGTGTAAAACTCTGACCATGCATTTTACCAGTTCTATCAAAAATATTATTTATGTTCTTAAATATAAACACAACAGCAGTCAAACTCAGTGTAGTAGGACTTGTGCCAAAATATGAAGTGGTATCTAATCAGTAAGGAATTTCTGTCTGTTTGCAACATAGATTCAAAACTTTATGACTTCTCACTAATAGCATTTAATTAAATAATTTATACTTTAAGAGGAAAATTGGATTAAAAAAATCTATACATACCGACTACTGGAAACTGCATTAATTTCAGGGAAAGATAACTCTAACAACACTTGTTCTTGATCATCAACTACATAAACCCCTGTCCAATTTACTGCTATTATTACATCATTCTTCGGTAAACTTGGTCCAGCAAATTTATAAGCTTCATAAAATCGTGAAAACAACAATGGCCACTTATATTTAGCATAACTGACAATGTCCTCTTTCACTTTCAATGCCTTGATTCGTTCATTTGAAAAGTACGGACTGCGTAGTTTATTCAAAATGGATTGTTTCCACATCTGTACTGAATTGGGTTTAGCTAAATATGAATCTGGTATATAGGAATTCAGTAAAGATTGTAGTCGATCAGGAGAAAAGCCACTTCCATACTCCACAAAATATTGTTGTGCTGCTATCATAGCTAAATCTTCATCCTTAAATACATTATACATACATAGATCATAATCAACAATTAGCAATATAAGTGTATCTCTAATATCTATTACAAGCTTAATCAAATTATGTAGTGTCGTTTGAAATGAATGGAATTTTACATCCTACTTTTCTAATCTTGACTGGACCAATGAAATACAGGACCATCATGTTGAATGCCAGGACAACAGCAATAACCTACCACTTTTCAATTTACATAAGATAACAAGTTACTATTCAACAGAAGGCAGTGGCACAGGGTTACTCCTCAGTAGAAATAATGATTTTATTAAGTTGTACTAGTAATCAATGCCTACCTTATCACAGCGATATTCTCCAAATTTAATACCACGTACAACTTGTTGGTAGATAAGATTAGTTGCCACATAATCTTCACTAGGGTCATGCCAAGGAGCAAATATTTCTTTCCTAAAGAACAACCTCCATGGTGCATTACGTTCCTGAGCTCCCTGTTCTTTAGCATACTGTTCACATTGTGATATAGCATCCATAACATGATCACCTCCACTACCTAAAGATGATACCTGCAAACAGAAAACAAGTCGAATTATGAACTTTCCTGAGATCAAATCCCAATATTGAGACAGGAGCCTAACTAACTGAGGCTTCTTAGGATCCAATAAAGAAATAAAGTAATAAATATATAGGATGCTGTATACCAATTAATTTTGAAATTTTCTTTACAGTTCTACAAATTATTGGCTTGATGCTTGAAATTTACATCTGAATGTTATGATATATTGAAAGAAGCGCTCTGAGCTATCCATATTTAGTGACATGCTTCATAATTAATAAATGTAAATATCTGTCAGAGAAAAATTACCTTGTCAAAGAGAGCTATATATAATGAGAAACCAAACTGATCTTTAAGTTCTATTTTTTCAGAGAGTTGAAGACATAGTTCTCTAGCTGTGGTAGCACTATCGGACAATAATGTTTTAGTATTACCATCCATAAATGTTATAGGTAACATCAATGGTTTTTTAGATTTTGTTGCCTGAAAAAAAAAAAAATTGTAGGCCTTAATGTAAACAATTACACTGGAATTATAAATTTCATGTTAATCTGCAATTACCGAGCTATCCAACAGCTTGATTATTTCTTTGAGGAAAGCCGGTTGATCATGAACAGTCCAAGGATCGCATCAGGACTTATGACTTATTCTTTTTATAGTATGGGTACAATACATCATTTTTGTTCGATTCTCTTCATCTACTCTATTTCACTCTGCATTTTTTAGTGTCAAGTCTTTAGTATACGAAGACACATGGGTGATTTTTTTCACACACTAAAATATACCTCTGTCAACAAAATCAGGTTGGAAAACATAAAGCTACTATCTCAACAAATTCAGAAAGAAACATTGATTTATGAAACCCCCAATTCCTACTAACCTGTAACTCAAGCCAACTTGGTGGTTGATTTCTTGGTCCATTTTTAAATGTTCTTTTCAACCTTTCTTCACAATATGGTGCATAGCCTGGTGGACCATCTTGGATAAAATTTCTTAAATAATTTACTAACTGGAAATACAAGATGAACAATGTTTAAAATATCATATAATACCAAATAAGTGATGACAATCATTTATATATCATGCTATCTAGTATTATCTATATAACAATTTCAATATAAACATGCTAATGGTACTTGACTTACTATATATATCAAAGTTTTTAAGTTGCACATGTAATGGAAAATTACTCTCCAACTACCAAGAAAAAAAAAAAACATAAAATTGTACCTTTTCTGAAGGTGGGAAACAGCCCACACATAAACAGAGTAAAATCCAGCCTCTAGCATGGGATGTTTTATTGGGATTTTGGGTTAACTGTTTACAAATCTGACAATAAATTTCATCTCTAAAATAAAATATAGAAAATGTTTCAAAACTGCAATGAAAAAATTGTACATATATTCATCTTTATTTACTTTATTCAAAAAGATTAAAGAAAATTAACTAATTTGATCAAATGACCTTGCAGTAATTTCATTCTTGTATTTTTTATCAATAATTTACTATTAGTTTTATTATAATAGATATTGTGGACTGCACTATTTCTATAACTTTAAATAGTCAAATATACCTTAAATCAGGTCGTAAAATACCATGACCAATGATAAAATGTAGTTTTTCTAAATTCGACATTGGTCGATCTTCTAACAAAGCATTTCCACTGCCAGTAGTGTCATAATCTTGTAGTTTCTTTGTTACTTCTTCTGTTAATTTTGATTTCTTTTTTAATGTCAATGATACAATCTTCTTACGAGTAGATTTTTTCACTGTGTTTCGTTGATATGACATTGGTTCATTTTCCTGTCAAAAAAAAAAGGGAAAACCGTTATAATGTAGTATACAAATTGAAGCTTTTACAAATCAGCTTAACTATTCTTGTTCTTAATCAAAATTTATCATATAAATATAATCACAATTCTTTCATAACACAAACACTAGCAAGCTTCTTTCTTGCTGGATTTTATGAAATAGAAGAACCTAAGAACTTATCAATTGTAAAATAAAGTACAAACCATCTCTTCTCCCATTCTCATGGCTTCTTCTAAATCTTTTTTATTAAATTTACGTCCTAGGGTTGAGTAAATTTTTGACATGACAGGTGTGTTATCCTAGAATACACAAATTAATGATTATATATCTTCTTATGATACAGAATAGAATAGCTGTATTTTATTATCTGCTACAAGACAATCAGACAATCAGATGAAAGTACACTGTTCACAATATTAGGTAAATAGGCCTATATTTTCTTCTATATCAGATGCATTTCAAACCAAAAATTACAGGAATTCTGAACCTATGCATTGATCTACCTCCTCACTAAAAAACAATTTACGTACCCTAGTATTTTCAGCCATTGAAGTGTGATATTTGGGTTCTTGAAGATCACCCATAAACCTCAGAATAACAATCCATACAGCTAAAGCAGCCTGAAATCATGGAAATAAATTTTACTCAAATTATGACATGCAAGTCTTTTTTTTGTTTTAAGGAAACAATAAAATTATTAAGTCCACATAAAAACAATGAATTAATCTATGATTTACTCCCCTACTTTTACTACTAGTTTACATTCAGTAGGCAGGTAGTTATTAATGTTTCCCATTATGACTTGTAGGTACTTACCAATTGATCTCCTTCATTACGAAGTGGTAGTAATGGTTGACGTAAAGCTTTACGACTGAAATAGTGGGAGGAGTTAGCCTGGAAATATGTGGCAGCAAACTTTCCAAACTTATATTCTCTGATATCTTCTATATCATCTTCTGTATCCATAATCATACCTTCAACAGCTATTCTAGGTCTGTGCGCATCTCCAATGTCCTTTTATGAAAATAAAAGAATTTTTTTCAGATTCTTAGTTTTATAAATGGTCATCCTTAATTACTCAACCAAATAGACTTTGTTCCAATACAGATTTCATGTCATTGACACTCAATCTTAGATAATTATAATATAATTTAGGTAAACACAAAGAAATAGAATATAGTATCAACTTACATTGAGAGCATTAGTTTTCATTCCAGCATTAACATTATTAACACTCTCAGTCGTATTTCCAACAAAATCAAACAATTCAGATATCTAAAAATAGATGAGAATATATGAACCATATCAACCTGTAAAGGTGTATAAAACAATTATCCCAGGTTTAGTTTTTCTGGAATTAACAAAACCACAATAAATTGAAACGAGAATATTGCTAATAGAAACCAGTGTCTCTAATACACACAAAGGCTATTATCTTTAATTATTCACATATTGACAGAATAATATTTATGTACTGTATAGAACATCATTGAGGTGTTATATATTTAATATGATTTTTATCATCAAATAAAATATATATACGAAATTTAACTTACAACTTTGTTTTCATCAACATCTTCATTTCTATTCCTTTCAGCTTCCTGTATCTGTTGATTTTTAAACTGAGCTTCTCGTCTTTCTCGCTGTTCTTCTTCTATCACGTCCTGTTCTAACTTAGCTAGTCGGTCCTTAATAATAAACACAATTATGCATCACAGTTTACTTTTCTTCAAAGAAATCACAATCTATTACTTTACTTTTTGCTGAACTTTTTAAGTTAGCAACTTGCATATTATATTCATTCAACTGTCAATGCAATAGTAAAATGAATAAAGAATTCAACTACAAAATAATAAAAACTACCACATACCTTAAGATTTTTCTCAGCCTCCTCTTTTGCTGCTTTTGTGTTCATTTTCTTTCTGAAATTCTTTTCTTCTTCCTGTCTAATTCTTTCTGCTTCCATACGTTTTTTATACTAAAATAATTACATATATTACAATGTTTACAATGTTATAAAACATCATTTAACAATTTTTATCATAAATTACATCATCAATATAACATAAAAAAATCAAAATATCTAACCTCTATCTTCATCCTGGTATATTTTTTAGTTGCTATTAATGTTCTCACTGAAGATTGTATTTTAACAACAGCTACCATTCGTTTCTGTACCCATTGTCTTACAAGATGTCCTCTGGCATATTTCTGTAAAAATTTGAAAAAAGAAGTTTTTGTCATAAGAATTCTGCCAGAACTGTCCTTTTCATTCCAAAGATTCTTTCATAGATAATCAGTTTTAACGTAAAATTAATGTTCATATGTTTAGTAGTAGTATATAATATAAATATAAAGAATATACCTGGAAGTTGATAATGATACCACGTAAAACATTATATCTAGCTGATAATATACGGGAACGACACAATGCTTGTAATCTTAGATAACCTTGTCTCATCTACAAAAATACGAAAATAATTTACTTATACAATCAAATGTCTTATACCAACAAATATACATTTTGATATCAATTGACAGGAGTTCAACATAAGGTGTCAACACATATAAAACATTTGGTTTAGAAATACAGGTTGGATTTGTTTTTTTTTATACCACGTAAGTCTAAAATGTATGTAAACTATAAACAGGAAACCAAGTAAGATATATCAAAGCAGTTTTACATGCAGTCACTACACATTGGGCTAAGACTTAGCCTACAGAGAACCAAACAAAACTTACCTTGACAAATCTACGTCGTTCAGCAAATGATCTCCATGCTGACTGTATGGTTATAATAACCTTACGCATTTTCAAGAATCTACGACGACAATGCCAAGTACGAACAGTTTTTTGTATAATTAATATTTTCTTTGTTAACATTAACTCTCTCTGTTGTTCTAAATATGCATCTTGGGAATCCTGAAAGTACATCATAACTATTATATTACACTGTACCTTACATTGATTTACTATATTGCTTTCCATTTCAGTTGGTACTGTTCAAATAAGCTATCTTAACAGCTTTGTTTGAATTTGGATTGGAAAATGATATTTGCATGTTACCTACAGTCATACATAAATCTTCTTGCTAAACGGCCCCTTCAATATCACAAAAGCATAAAAGTTCACGTTCTAATGACAGAATGCACATGATCTCTAGACAACCACAATTATATGTTTCTTACCTTCAAAAAGACTTTAGTTTTACCAAGCTGATAATCTGAATCTTTTAATACAGCTTGACAGATTGATAGAGAGGCTTTCTGACAATCTTCTTTATGAGATGGTCCTACACCTTTACACAGTAACCTGAAATAATTTGATTAGATATACCTGATAACCTCTTTGGTTCTGTTCAACAAATTCAACAACTATTTCAAACCATTCAATTATGTTTTTATATTTTTCGTGCAGTATACGTAAAAAAAGAGAATCTCTACCCTTCATTACTTCTAGCTTGAATATTATACCAATAACTTATTCAAGTTAAATACTGACCTATATCTATCAACAAACTCAGAGAAATGATGTCTGATGGGATAGCCAGCACGTCGAATTCTGATAGTCTCCATCATACCAGAATAACGTAACTGTTTACAACATAACTCACGATCAAATATCTATAATATAAATAAAAATCTTCAAATTTGTATTTTTTCAAAGAATAAGTACTAGCATGTAACTTCATATTTCTGCAATAACCAGATAAAAGTTATTGACTGATACTGATGTGCAAGCTGCTGAGTGAAACAAGGCAAGTCGTCAAATTTAATTTGTTAATTGTCAAACAGCTAATCTATAAAGAAGGAGATTTCACCTACCTTAGGTTTTTTCAATTCATTAGGTTTAATACATCGTACAAAGAATGGCTGACAATTACTCAGAGTTTTCATCAGAGAATCTAATGATCGTTTAAACTGGGCAGCTAATGTCGGAGCTTTCTTTCTCGTATCAGATCCCTAGATAAATATGACAATATATGATATATCAACAATTAACCAGTCTCCAGAGAAAGATACAAAAACCTGCAAAAAGCAGTTGGTGCAAAAATCAACATACATTAATTTATTGTTTCATCAGAAAACTGAAAATTAGTTAATACTATAAGATTATATCATTTCAGAGCTCTAGTGTGGAAATACCTAATCACACACAATGTTATATTTTTTGTTTATGTCAAAAAAGATGCAGAAAAGTAAGATCTAAGACCTGGGTAACACTTCTTAAAAAGCACCAACAGGAAATTAACTAAAATCTTATCACTGTGATTAATTATATTGTTAACAACTTACCATCATGACATCATCATCAAATAATGTATTAATAAATTTACTTTTAGATGTGTTTATAAGATGTATTAAATCAGAGCTAAATGTATCTCGATTCTTCTCCAGAAAACCTGAAATAATACATAGCATCTTGTCAGATTTAAACTTAGAATTTCTTAATTTCTAAATAGTCAAAAGTAACAATCATATGACCAATTGTTTTTCAATACTGATATCATTATGTGGTAACATTTTTCTTATAATAACCGGAATGAAATTGTAAATCAGAGAGTGGCAAATTGAATTTAAAAACCTCTTTAGAATACATTGAGGTCCAAAAATTGTTTTTCACATGCAACAAAATCGAATACTGAAATGTATATCAAAGAAACACCATCTATTTTCACCATTCTGACACAAGACCCCTCCACTAACATGATAAAAACACCAAAACTACTTACGTTTAGAGTCATAGAATACAACACCAGCAAAATGATTTAAACCAAATGACATGGTATGTGATGATTTAGGTTTAAGATAGTTAGGATTGTCTGAATGATGCTGATGTAGTTTGTTTAACATGGTCGTATCTGTACCCTGAAATAGTTAAGACATATGAACTACAATTAATTTCTTGTTGATGACAAAATCTACAATTATTTACTTATGAACCAAATAATGTCATAGCATGCATGTATATAAGTTAAAACAAAAGTAGGCCAATTGATTGTTTGTAAAATAATGTAATGGCCTTCACCTTCACACAATATGTAGTTGGGGAAAAAAATGGCTGACATGACCAAACATAGCCTGCAGAAAAAATGCCAACAAAATATCAAGATATGAATTTCATCAGATTATCTTTTATCTAAATCTGTAGAACCTAGCCTTACCTTAGGAAATTTACTCTCTTCATCTACCAGAGCCATGATATTCATGGGTTTAACAGCTATCATATCTAAAGCATCTTGGTTATCTACAAACTCTATATGTTGCCAGTTAATACCTTCTATATTATACTCTTGCTATAATAGTTAAAACATTCATTAATAAAGAAAATGGATAAACTAGGTAAGGATAGGAGTCAGGAAACACCTAGTTAACTCTGATTTTAGCAGAAACATAATGTGATATATTAATCTGATAAAACTGCAGAATATTTGGTAAAAATGTCACATCCTACAAACTAAACCAACTGACGTCCTGATTTTCTAAATAATAAATAAATTACCTGTTCTAATTTGAAAATATGTCGGACAAAAAACTGCTGTAAATTTTCATTGGCATAATTAATACACAACTGTTCAAAACTGAAAGAAATAAAGACATCATTAAGCTATATCTCTCCAGAAGACCATATAAACATAGATGGCCATATTTATTATAAGTGCCACATAAATTTGAATATAACTTTGAAAAAGAAAACTGATTAGAATAATATATGAAGGTTGCTTAACATATAAAGTTATCAGTTCCCACACATGAGGTGTCATTTTGAATGCACGACACAATTCAATATTCAGAACAACATTTTACCTGTTTTTTTCAAAATTTTCAAAACCAAAGATATCAAGAACACCTATAGATTTTCTATAGTGGTTATTACGTTCCATTGGTTTATAAATAGCTGCATTTATCTTTTCTACAATCCACACAAACATTCTACCATATATACCTGAATAAATTAAAAGTAAAACACACTATTGGAAACACTGTAATATTGCAACCTATTTTTCAGATATAATTATTTAAAGGAAATTTCTGAATATTGGATATCAATATTAGATTTCCTACATATCACATGCCTCAGATCAAACAATGTTAAATGTTTGAACAGATAAACTACAGTACAAATCACACAACACATCCATTTCATCTCTGCAAATTTCGCAAATCACAATCCATAAATAAAGGAGGTTACATTGCCTGGTTACTGAATTCCATTCAATGAATGCCATTGAATATTTGCTGAATTTTCTGGAAGAATATCATATTTGAACATGGATTTCCAGTTAAGTCAACTTACCTTTAACAAAAGCATCTCTAACATCTAATGAAGCAGCTAATCCCATAGTTGATGTTACAGTTTCTCCTCCTGTTAATCTGGTTTTAGTTGTCAGAGAATCTATCAAAGATTGGGCATCCACCTGGATTGATATAAACAGAAAGAATATAATATAATAATATAATAATATAATAATAATATAATAATATAATAACATAATAATATAATAATAATATAACATAACATAATATATAAATAGGATAAATGAATAAATACCTGTAGCAACCTAGCAGCACTGTTGATGTGGGCTACATCTTGAATTTCTGTAGCTTCTATATGATCTAACTCAATAGCTACATAAAAATGAAATATAAATTAACTCTACATACTCTTGAGTGCACATGTCACCTTTCTAAGAGAAATTCAGATCAGATTATGATTAACTAATTAACACAATTAATAGTATTTGACTTTTAAATGGAACCATGAATTACAGATGAATATAATGCTTTAAATGTGATTGATAAATAGTATGATTCTTTTAATATAAAGTCTAATAATAATTTTATAAACTTACCATTATATTTAACATTACCAATATGTAACAAAGTGGCAAGAATTTTCATAATTTCCATCATTTCATCATCTTTAAACATCAAAACTTTCATAGCTGATCTGATATCAGCAAATTCTTTAGCATCATCTCGTCCTTCACAAGTTATACTCCTACCCTGTAATCAATGTTAGAATTTATTTTGATGCCACTTAATTTGTCATTGAACTTCTAAAAATATGTATTTTTTAACAAACATAAGACAATTTTGTGTAAGTTTAGAAAAAGTCTATTTGTAAAATGGAGGATGGCGTTTTTGTCAGCTGTCAAATTATAATAATTAGATAAAGATAAGCATTAAGAAAAAGACATATAATTGTATAAAAGGCAGAAGAATTGAGTTTACATCATACTTGTCTTAGGGTAAAAGAAAATAATCTAACCTGTATTAAATAATTGTATTCTTTAGCATCTGATATTTCTAATTTATTTTTATCTTCTTTGTTCATTCCAGCCAACATACAGTAAAATATGTGATAGTTCCTCTCATCCTTGGCTTGACTCACAATTCGAGATTTCTCCAGTAAATATTGTTCTATTTTGGCGCCCTCTATCACACCCTTATCCGTGAAATGGATATCAATATATTTACCAAATCGACTAGAATTATCATTTCGTATTGTTTTTGCATTTCCAAAAGCTGAAATTTTCAAATAAATGCTATTTGATATTTTAATTGTTGAGTTGGAAGATCATTCTTTTACCATTGTTCCTGGGCCTTGATATTTTTACATGACTTTCATTTCATTTAGTACTGATATTGTTCTTTTTTAAGGATTAAAGCTAATTACTACTTCCACTTCTGACCCAGCAATCAGTATTTAAAATTTATGAACAGTCTTCTTACCTTCCATAATGGGGTTGGCCTCTAGAATCTGTTGTTCAATCCAAGAATGTTGTCCACTGATAGCAGCTAGAAACTGGAGAATTAATTTAGTGGATTCTGTTTTACCAGCCCCAGATTCACCACTGAAAACAATAAATCTTATTGTCAAATAGCAGATAATATGATATGTGACTAGTATGAAACTATTCAGCAATTGCTACGAATTAGTGTGATTTTAATTAGAAGTCAGGAAAATGCATTTGTACAGGTCAGGAACAAGAATGGAGTACCAGTGTACGTATTTGTGTTGACAACAAAGCAACATTTCATCAGTCTTGAACAATTTTATCATTCATGCATGGATATAGGAACCAAGAATTATTTACAGGGGCAGTTTACAGTTTTTTCCCAGCACCCTTATCTCATATACATATTCACTTTGTACTATTCCAGCCTTAGTTCTGATTATAGACATCAGAGACTGTTTAAAATCAAAACTATTGAGTTTACCTGATAATAACACACTGATCATGTTGATAACGTTTCATATTATGGTATGAATTATCAGCAATAGCAAAAATATGGGGAGGTAACTCTCCTATCTTTTTATCTCTATATAACGTGATCTGTTCTGCATTATAAATAGGTAAAACTTCGTATGGGTTCACTGCTACTAAAATAGATCCTGTGTAGGTCTGAAATTACAAGTAGTATAATATTCCAAAAAAGATTTATTAATGCTAGCTTAGAACGTGTATAACTGTTGGAAAGAGTAAGATTTGAAATAACTTATATAAAATACATAAAATACCTTTTTTCTATAAGTTTTCAGAATTTTTGTTACATCTTATACATGTAAAATTTAAAAACAATTTTTTACGGGTTATTGTATGTGCAAAATTGATGGAATACGTAAAAGATTTACAAAACTGTTATAATTAAAAATATTGAGCAAATTATATTCAATAAGGTAAATAAAACTTTACTTACATAAATATGGTTGTCCATATATCTAATAAATAAATTCCTTAATATTCCTGCTTCATTTAAATCACCAAGACCAATCATGTCTTCCATTCCATCAACAGATGACGGGTGCATGTGTTTAATCTGTTTCTTTCCTTCAATCCAGTGTTCCCTTCCATCATCATCAACAACTTTAACACGTCCTGACTCTGAGAACTGTACTTTAGCTCCAATAGAGACAGTGAATTCACCGCGGGTGTCTGGTTCCAACCAAACATAGTCTCCCTGAAAAATATAATCACATCTTTTATAAAACAAACACAACATCAATATACTAAGAGTCAAAACAACCATTTAATTGATGGTCAACATCCCTAAATAAATGTATGATGATCCAGAATTAGGGTTTATAATATAACAGTTCTAAACATATTTGCTCAAAGTGTTTGCATTTAATCATTTTGATAGCAAAATGTTGAAATGTTTCTTAAAACAAACAAAATTTAGATTTTTAAAACTATTTCAGCAATCGAAAATTTCAATTCAAGGCTGATTTATTTGTATCAAAATAACAATGGGTCAATAAGAGAAGTTCCAGTGAGTTACTGTATGTATAACAGCAATATTATACTATTTATGTGGAAGAGGGATTGAGAAACCCCTTTTACCCCATGCTGATTGACATTATCCCTACCATGACAATATATCCTGAGATTGACAGTGTATATCAGATTATAATATTAATACTGTTTATTCAAGATCACATTTATTAACAAACAAACACAGCTACTGCATAATATCAATTGGCAGTCTGCAATCACCACCATAAAATACCTGTCCACATGGCAATCCATAAGACTACTGCCAAAAAACCCCGGCAAATTTGACATGAGATTGAAATTAGTCTACGTAATAGGATAACTACTTTACCCTATTAAAAAACACAGATAATATAAAATCTTAAAATAGCATTGTCCATATTCAGCAAAAGAAGAAAACTACAGTTTTCATTTACTATTTGAAGACCAAAAACCACCACAAAATGAGTTTCATTGCTATTTAGATCATGAACAGAAAGATACAAACAAATATTATTGCCTTCACATAAAACTTTACTCCTCTCAATTGTCCCAACCCAGAGGATCCAAACAGGATTATGACATGCTTTTCCCACTAAATTTCCAATTCTAATAATTTATTAATTTTAGCAAAGAATACCCAAACCATAAATACAACTGCTCAAATGTCACTAGATTGTCTTCAAATTTTCAGCTCTTTATTAAAGTGTGTTTAGTCATACATCCAAATATTATAAATGTAACACTCACTTACAAACCAGCTTTTCTTTTCCTTCAATTATATTTTGAGAGGACAACAACTGTTGATGTTCTCTAGCTACGTTTATTTTCATGATCCAAACAAGACAAAACTTAATCTAAACTGAATTTTGAAACACCATAAATCATAGTTGAAAAAATCAAAAAAATCCAAACTTACTCTGTGAAGAATTCCTTTAAATCGATTGTGACGTACAGGCATGATGTATGGAGCCTGTACAAGCAAAAGTAAAATGGCGGAGATAGTAGGGTTAGAGATAAGGGGTCAGTAAAGAGATTTAGGGTGTTGGTTAAAGCCCTGTCAATATGACTATATAGTACTGAATATATATATATATATGATATACGTTCAATCAGTTATTACAGTAAACATTCTTCAAATTACATACCAACTTTATCTGAATAATAAACTATGTCAGATTCATATCACTTTTAAGTCTCTTGCTAGTGTTTATCTGCTCACAAGGGTCAGAGATTCACATTTGGACAATATGGAATTGAACAATAAATCACTTTATTTCAGGTTTTTTGACTTTTATTCTAGTTATAGTTTGTGAAGTTTACAGTTTTTATTTTACTTTTAATGAAATTAGATGAAGGTTTACATCTTTTAGTTCTAGATAACTTTAAAATGCAATTCATTCCTATTTCATTCCATATCCTGTTGTTTCACAAGCTTATGTACAGTACAAAAGTGGCGGTACTAGTCCTACTAAATGCAGTTAATGACAACAATGAAGCTATCGACAACCAAACCAACAACCCGAATCATCCAATTTGAACCAAATCAACTACCAACAACTACATAGTTTGTGACATCAACATCAGCTGGAAGCCAACATCATCTACCTACCTATCTAGCAATGAAACAATGTGCACAAGGATAACCACATATCATTTTCTAATACTAATTGCCACTTTGACGATCTTTTCAATAATATTCAAATAATCCAGAACTTTTCCATATCAACTCATCAGACACCAATTACATCTGGTAATTTCCAGATATTTCCCAACAAAACTTTAACATACCATTGTGTTTTAATTTTCACCAAAAATCAGACCAATTTTCATCTATGTCTGGATGAATAAGTTTCAAAACGACACACACGTGAACAGTTGTCCAGATCAATAAGTCTTACAAATCATCACAGTATTGAAATATCTATGTAAAAATAATATATTTGCAGCAGTGTTGATCTTCTTGTCTTACAATTGCTGACACATAAGTCTTCCACACTTAAAATCAGAGGTAACATAAAATAACGCCCAACAAGTAGTCTCCAACAACCAGTCAAAGAAATAACTAGATTTAAGAACAGCATTTAGACCTCATCGATGAGTCTTATTTGCAAATAGAAATGTAACTTGTTGATACAATACAATACAAAGAAAATTATCGTCAATATGAAAGTTAAACTGTTATTGGGAAGTTTCTGATCAAGAAATTAACATTAGCGTTAAGGATGTCTGAATTCCACAAAGGCTAATAAAATATTCGTCAATGAAGTTTGTGTTACCAGTCTATTTGAGTTGTTGACGTAAACAAATTTACTAAGCATTGATTTAATTTTAACCTGTGTTAAAATGTCTAATCGAAAAACAAAGAACAAATTTTATTTGAATTCATTTAAATCTTAATTGTCAGTTACTAATATCATTGACTGAAAATTTATTTTCAACATCCTGAGTCACTTCTTATAAAGACTTTCAACAATTATTTAGTAAATAATACTGATAAACCCTCTAAGACCACACCTCTATTTTTGTCAGAGCAAACTATCATTCTACAAGAAACCTACACTGCTGCACCTTCACAATTTTAAAACTTATTGACTACCTTGACTGCATTAGCTACCTTTCTTGTATCACGGAATGCAGCAATTTGATTGGATTGTCAACAAATACAGCCAATCGTATCCCAAGACAGATAGATTGTCAACAATAAGCCAGAATGTTCCAAATCTGTCTTTCAAGGGCTATGATTGACTGTATTTTCTGGAGTATAATCTAATCAAATTGCTACATTCACAAACTTCTCTGATACAAGAAAGATGGTTAATTGGTTATTGCAGTCACAAGGTTTAAGACAAAGTATGTCATTGTGAAGTGGAATGGTACTTTTCTGGTATATATATATATGACTTATCAACTCTATCAGATTATTTTTTTCTTTTCTATACATTCAAGTATTCAAATTTTTAAATCTTTACGGCTTTAAAGCATGAGAAGTAATAAATTATTACAGTGCAAATATAAAGTTTATATTGCCCCTTAAAATATACAGAGATTATTTTATTATACACCTCCTTATTCTACCTATATTATATTACAGGCCCTTAGTTTATTATACAGATAACAGACTAGACTGATAAAACACTAAAGGAATGTGAGGACTGAAATATAATAGTATGAAACACAAACTAGCACTTTATGGATACAGAATCATTTTGGTTTCTGGTATAAACTTTGCCAAAAAGACATCAAATATTGCTTTTGCAAAGTTTATAAACTAACTCAGAAACATAATAAAACCTTTACACAATCTCCTAGCAGTGTTATCCATGTGATAAAATGATGATTACATAGCTTTAAAAGTTACTGGTACTATAAAAGATGGTAATCTTGAAATGTTAACAATATGGAATTCAAGGTAAGTCTTTTTTAGATTATTTTAACCATAAAATCCAAACATCACAAACAGCTTGTCTTAAAATACATATACAGTAGACCACTCTCTTAATGAAGGTGGTATATTATGAGAGTCAGCAATTTGCCAGTTCAATCATTTTATTTCATTACATGACAATAACAATTATATTCATATTACATGTAAATGTAATTAGCACTTTTCTAAATTACAGTCATTTTCTTTAAATTCATGACTGTTTGTAGCATGTTCCTTTGAACGCTTACCACCAGCACAGTCACTACCCTTTTCATGATAAGACTTCCTACAAGAATCTTTAAAATTTAAACCTGTTTCGTCCATATTGAAAATATCTCACGGTGCATAACCCTCACATAAAATTGGTAATTTGGACTTAATAATCCTCAACAACAGTTAAATTCACCTCTAAAGGTTCACCACTCATAGCACAAAAATATATATTGTATATACAATTCTAATACTTCTGATTTGTCATTGTATCAATCAGATTTGTATAAGTTAATTAAATGCTGGATCTTACTGAATACAGACCCCTGGGGAAATTAATTTTCATTATAATTCATAAGCAAGTTCATCTCTAGTTACTCCTTTTCAATGGAATAACTATGAAGACATCCAAAATCCTCCAGCTCCATGAGCACACCACCTGGCTTCATTAACTTCAACAACTGAACTTAACCTTTTCCATAACAGACCAGACCTTCTGACTGATATCATCCAAAGGGGGAATTAGTTCACACATCTTAACCTGTATGTCATCGCTGAGCCAGTGCGTTTCTAAAAGGGGTAAATAGGGCTGATGATGACATAAAACTTACCTTTATAAGAAGCACCATGTTGTTGGTTTAAAATAAACTAGCTACAGATAATCCACTTTAATCTTTTACTTCTAATCCTTCCTGAAAATAGACAACCCAATATTGTTATTTTTATCATTTTTTCTTGATGGTAAATCCAATTTTGCTGCCATTTTTTAAATTTTAGTTGAATATCCTCAGTACTGATAGTTTTACTGAGTGACTGACTTTGTGGTGATAAATATTTGGTGAATATTTCTTGAATAAAAAGACACTTTCCTCCAACAAATATCAACTGAAAATATCCCAAACCTTTGTTAATGTTAAAATTTCAGAAAAAAAAATTATCAGCTTTAGAACTAGTACAATGGGAGATAACTCTATTTAATACTTTCAATGTTGATTTATACTTAAAAGTAAGACAAAATATGAGCAGTACACAATTAGTCCTCGAACTGCTGGACCTAAAAATTTAGTCCCATCATACCCAAACCATCATAATAATAATAGCACATTCTATAA